GAGGCCGAGGGATCGGATGTTATCATATCCCGCCAAAGACTCTGAGCATTGGCACGAATAAATAAAGATGGAGTGATTGACAACCCTCGTGTGAAAGAGATTGCTAAAAAAATTATAAGTGTTATTCTTATCTATCAATTAATAAATGATTATTAAAAGGCATACTAATTAGCTCTACTTTTTACAGGATTCCCTCTCTCAAGAAGTATCACAGGGCAAGCTTCCTGAGCATGAGGATATCTTAGCTAGAGCATTGGGGACCCCTGACCCCCTGGTCATGTTAGGGGTATTGGCTTCGGTGTTACAAAGAAGCAATACTTTAGAAAGATTAAGAAGCGAACATCGGCTTCTTCATCCGAGGTCTAAGAGTTGAGAGAAGAGCAAGCTGTTATGAAGCAACAGCTAGAAGCCCAAGCGAAGTTAATTGACATGCTATTGAAGGGCCAGATCCCTGGGAGGCTTTTGGGTGACGTTAGCCCCAGCGGAAAAGATAGCTGCACAGTCCCTTCAGACAAAATACCCGAGGTAATGCATTTTCTCTTTTAAATTTGCTCAACTAATTTTTTATCTAAACAACTAACATTCTTCATTTATTTAGGGCAAGAATGACTGCAACTGTTTAGCAGATGATCTGTCACGCAAAGTAGTTGCAATGGGACGCGTGTATAACATTGCCGGGGACACAATCCATAACCTTCCCTTCCCACCCGATTGCATTAGGGTTTCCTTACTTGTTGCAATCAACCCCAAGTATCCATTACTTTATCCTACCGATGAGATGCAGACGGTAGGAGATGCGTTGGGGAGCTTCGTTGCATGGCCCAGCCACCTTGTTATGGTTGGTACACCAAAGCCGACAAAGGACCCAAAACCGCCAAAGGACCCCTTGCCACCAAAGAAAAAGGTATATATGATTTATATAATTATTTAAAATCTTTAATATATATATATATATATATATGTCTAACTTTTTCATTGTATAGCCAGGGGGGAAAAGCAAATTGAAGGGTAAGGTGTCGGGCCATACTAAAGAGTCAGTCACGGTTTCGCAACATGCAGTGCCTATGCCTGTTGTAGAAAATAAATTTTGTGACTCTCTTGAGACCTATGCTTTGGCTACGAGGATGATTCGTCAAGAGCCGATAGGGGATATCATTAATTTTGACGATGGGCTATTTGGTAGAGCATCATTTGAAGTCGTTCGGGATGAAATTTTGAATGAAATCCTCAAGCACGATATGGCGAGCACTAGTTTGATGACTTTCTACATGAGGTAATTCTTCAACATTTATTAGTTAATTTCTTGAATTATTTATGTGTGTGAGTATGCAAGCATATTAACTTGTATATTTTTTCACCGAAGTCACCTTTATACCTCATTCGTGGTTCCTGGTGGCCTCGAGTCAAAGATCAAGCTGGTTAATCCTCATGATGTCTCTCCCCACAATAATATTACAAAGGAAGCCCTTGAAAATCAAGCAAGAATGCTTTCGGATCAATTTCAAGAAAGGGGAGCAGCGAAGGATACTTTATTTCTCGCTCCTTACTGCCAAGGGTGAGTTGTTAATATTTGTTACGAGTAAATATTTTTTTATATTTATTTGTTTGGTAACATGTGCTGTTTCTTGTTAGGGGACACTGGATGCTTATTGTGGTTAATCCCGTTGCTCCAAAAATATGGTATCTCGATCCCCTTAATGGAGAGCCAAGCAACAAGGAAGATATGGTGGTACTTTTTAATGAGTAAGTTGGATTTTTTACTTGTTATTTCTTTTTAATTTTAGTTTTCATTCATATATATTTCTCACATTCATTCCATAATTCCTTCTTAGAGCTGTGGTGTTGTATCGCACTGCGATCGACATGACTATGTCCCCTAAGATGAGGGCATTCAAATCTTCAGAGAAATGGGTCACTGTTAAGGTATTCATTTAATTGGTCAAGTTTTTAATCAAGAAATTATCTCATTATATTTTACAATTTCATTGATATGTGTTTTTTATAGTGTCCATACTAGCCAGATCAGAGCAATGACTGTGGTTATTGCTTGATGAAGTTCATGAAGGACATTATCACTCATGCCCCTACCACATTATCTAACAAGGTATATATATAAAATTTAATTACACTTCAATTATAAATTTTAAACAATTTTAATTAGCTACCTATTAACTTGAAATTGTTGTAACTATTTACTTACAGTACTTCGAGGACGTCTATTGCGTTTGTTATACGACTGCACATGTAGAAGAGGTCCTTGAAGAGGTGGCCCAATGTGTTTTCAATATGTGGGTAGCAACAGTAGTTAGGCCGGTACAATAGTTAGTTACATTTATATACACATTTTTGGGCCAATTTTTATGGGATAGGCCACTTAATTTTGAAACATTAGTTTACAAATAAGTTTAAATTTTAAGGTTAAATGTATAGGAATTTTTATGTTAATTAGATAGGAGATACTATTACAAACATTCATTATATTGCATTATTTTTGTTGCTGACTGGCTGTTTTTTATCTTTATCTGTATCTTTATGCAGGGGGCTGCTTTAAAAGCAGCCACCGTATTTAAAAAAATTATGTCATTAATACTTGACGGTTATTTCAAAATAACCGTCAAGTATCAATATAGTTGACACTTGTTTCAAAACAAGCGTCAAGTATTTGTAAATACTTGACGGTTATAAGGAAACAAGCGTCAAGTATTTATGGCCAAAACCTGACGCTTGTTTTGGCCATAAATACTTGACGCTTGTTTTGAAACAAGCGTCAAAACAAACGTCAAGTATTTATTCTGGGAAGTGCATATTTACTTCATATATTTGACGGTTTTTTTCAAATAACCATCAAATATAAGATTAATACTTGACGGTTTTTAACTGTCAAGTATTATTTCTTTAATATATGTCTCACCCTTACTTGACGGTTAAAAACCGTCAAGTATTGTGAAAAATAAGCATCAAGTATGGATATTTTCTGTGTTAGTGATTGGGGAAACTGTTACATGATGACAATGAAAATGGGTCTAATTTTCCAAATTGATAGATAAGTTGTCCCCAATGAAAATGGCATCTCGGCAACTATTGAGTAGAAAGAGTTGATTTTTTATATTCCCCAAATTACTTCCTTTCCAATTTTCTCTTGAATTTGGCTTAGTCTCCACTTAGTTTATAGATCCCCAGGCAACTTTCTCAATAAATATCACTGTGTTTAGTTTATAGATCACCATGATGCTAGCTCATCATCATCATCTTCTTCTTCTACAGAAAGAAAGAAAGAAAGAACTAAACGGATACGGAGGAAGATTCCATGGATTCGGACACTATGAGCACCATGGGTAACCTACCTTTTATCAGGCTTTCGCTTTCAGTGCCAACATATTTTATAATTTATATCCCATGCTCATCCAAAATCTTCTCCATTTTATAACTTTAGCATTTAGATGCTTCAAATTTCATTTCATTTTTTGTTTTATAAAAACAATATTTTAATTGTTGATTTTGAAAATTGTTTATCTTGTAAGATCTTTAATTACGCTAAAAAAAAAATATAATCATAACAGATTCTATAAATTTTAAATAAAGAACAAGGTCCTCCAAAGGAAAAACAAGAAAACACGCACCGGATTTGGCTGAAAGGGGATAAAATTTGATTTTGCAGTTAGTGACAAAATGCTATGTAAATGCTTGTTTCAATGAACTTGTAAATTTTAGAAGAGAAAACGTATTTTTTAGTTGCACCGGATTATTACTTAATGTGGACGAACGAGTTAGTCGAACTCTGTCTCGTGTCCAACAGCAACTACACAGTAAAAGAGAGAAAGGGAGGGTTTAATCTTGAAATATGCCGAGTATACTCTGGTTTCACGTACTCATCACATGTATAAAACTCCAACTCACATGGGACGGTTTTTTCAGGTCCGCAAGAGTGGGGTAATAGTATCCTCTCATCACTCATTACTTTGAATCTTTACGGAGAATATTACACTCAAAAACCCAAGTATATTGCATCAAATGACTCATAGACTTTTTCTATATTCTGATAAACCCCCAATTCCTCGTTGGGCTTATATTCATGATCCTGATCTATTAACAATCTAACATGATCTGAACCATTGCTTTTCGAGCGCGCAGTGTGCGAGAAGAAAGAAAGAAATAAAGAAAAAAATAAAGAAAAGAGAAAAGGAAAAACAAATTTAAGAAAATCACATATCTATTGTTTTTTCGATGATCAGGGCACATGAATTATCTTTTGCTTCTTCAATATATTTTGCAAACAATTTTTATGGCCCTTTAATTCACAATACAAATATTAACCTGTATAGCTCCCTTTTTTTCAATGTCTGTGCGTAACTTATGGTTTAGGCAATAAATATGAAGTATTTATGAGTTTTATGAGAGGCCAAGACAATCAAGAATCTTTCCCTTCCCATCTCTATTCATCATCTTTAGCGAATGCTGGAATTTCTGTTATCGATGACTATACTGAACTTAACCGTGAAAATGATATCTCAATTGAACCATTACGAAGTATGCTTGAAACTATTGAAAGTTTTGAACTTTTAATCATCGTCTTTCTCTAAACACTAACCTTGTTCCGGAAGGTGCCTCTCACAAAAATCATGGAGATCCGCAGAGCACAGCATCAGGCAGTTGTGACCATATACTTTCCTGGTAGCTACTTCTCACTATACCTTCACTTCACCGCGTTGACATCATTTCTCCAAGAAAATTTGGGAGTGAGACGTAGAAGGAGCATCAAAAAGCCTTATTAATCCCTCTTTCTGTTCTGATCATCATCATCATCATCAAAGACATTTATCTCCCGTTCACCCACGTTGATCGTATACGGCAGGCATGTTTGATTTGTTGGTAACGCTACTGTATTTGATTTTTTTTTTTTTTTATCCAAATGCCTTTGTAAATTACAGAAGCTCTAATTCTTTGTTCCTATGGAAGTATTTGATTGATCTCTTTGTTTCGAGTCCTGCCAATATATTTCTTTAGCTTTTGCTTGCTGAGGTGCTTCTAAGTTCTAGCGGGCTAGTCAAAAAGCTAAAGCAAAAGGTGTTTGCTTTCTTACAAAAGATGCCATTAACACGTTTTCGAGTGAACTTTCCCATCTTTATTGAAGCCTACCGAACTAATACTGCAGTATAATCTCTCTGTTAATTCCTTAATTATCATTCATTACAGATCTCATCACATCATCTTCTAATCGATTGTGTTTTTGTTCTACCAGATTCATCTCTTCATATTCACTCCGGTAATTGACAGGTAATGTTTCGCTCTGCGTACATCTCGATATTGATTGTGTTTCGAGTTCCAATTAAGAATGGTGCTGTGTTTATTAATTAACGAATTATAGTTCTTGTTTCTCGGTATGATCTTATGGTTTTTTAACATGTACTAGCATCAGAGTCCTGACAATATTTATGCTCTGTGTGTGTGTGTGTGTGTGATGTTTTTCCTTAATTATCCTTCAAAGAAGATATACCCATGACGTGTTATTCCATAAGATCATGAATTCTGCAACAAAATCAGAACATTACAAGTGAATTCAATAGTCCCAAAATAAACTTAAAAGACCTATTTTGTATTCATTTGAGATGAAGATTTTCTTTCTTGAGCAGCTTTTGGCTCAAGAATTTCACCATTTTCAGAGCAGAAACAGAGCAAAGGTTTGGGACTGTGGTTGGCTGAACGTGCGTCAAGCTGGGCTTAGAGAAATAGGTATTTGACTCCATCAAATTTTGGGTTAGTTCCCGTTCATAGTTTTATGCGATGTTTTGTCCTTCTTTTCATTTTCGTTAACTACAATGGATTCGGTGGAATGAAGTTTCTATGGTGATATTGGAAACTGTTGGTGTTTGGAACATGTTTGGTTAGTTGAGTAAGGGATCAGGAGCTTGTTTTTAGTTAGCTTCTGGGATGCATATCAAGTGTTCCATGAAATGTGGGAGAAAGGAATTTGATTAGATTGAGCGGCTGTGGTTACTGTGTTAATGACTAAATACTAGTACAGAAATCATTCAACAGTTATAATATTAAAATGTGACTGAAACAAAAGGAGTGTGCACTTGAATACTTATCATATGTTAGTTATATCAAGTGCATTTTAAATGTTAGATAAAATGATTGTAGGAAAGTAGAATTGGAAATTTAGTTAGTAGTTCGTTATGAAGAATATCATATGGTGAAATTTGGAACTATGAAATGCTTTTGATGAAGTATAAGAATTAATTAATTTTGAAGAAATCTCCTATAAATATTATTTACTAGAAATTAAACAAGTGTGAAAGCACCTTCAGATACATCCATTGCGTCGGCTTCCTACGAGGCTTTACAAGCGCTTCATAATTATGCTTTTGCAACCATTTAGAAGTCACATTACTTATTATGTTTTTAACTTTATTTCTATTAAATATATCACTTTAATTATGTATTTTTTCTTATAAACATTTAACTAAAGTTAAAAGAAAAAATTTGTCATAAAAATTAATGAAGTGATTTATTAAAGACAAAAAAATTTTTTTTTCTATCTTATAAATAGATTGGGAAAGAATGTAATAATATAAGTCAAACATGTTTGCACTGACATAAAAGTTGCAGTCGTCTATCTTGATAATAAAAACATTTTCTAAAGACAAAATATAGCTTTCATGTAGAAATAAATAACTGAAAGCGTCAATTTTCAATTCAATGATAATAATATGACTCATGCCTCCTGCTTGCAGAGATAATGGAGGTGATGAGTAGGGAGGCCAAACGAGAAAAAGTACGTCTTGTGTTGCCTCCGAAGCTGGGACCAGTGGAACCTAGGGTATATAAAACAGTGTCCTTGAAAGGTAAAGGTTCCAGATTATAAAATTTTTTATTTGTAATATGTATTTATATACATGTATTTTCATCTATATACTAATTATTATAAAATATTTTTTAATAAAAATCTGAATGTACATTTACAAATTGTATTTCTGTTTCACTCATCTATTTTATTTGTATATAATATAAAACTACTCTGTTTTATTATAAGTTACATTGCGAGCCCCATATTCTAATTTAGTAAATTAGTAATAATACTCTTAAGATAATTTTTTAGTGGAAAAATCTTAATAAGCATGTGGCTAAATGAGAACAAATTGGCCCTCTCAAATTATTTTAATTTTTGTCAATTTAATTCCTTAAGCTGCTGGTTTTTTTTATTTTCTAAAATTTCTGAATCTATTTTTCTTTTTTCTTCTGTAATTACACTTATTTTTATTAATTTACATGGCTACCAACTCAATATTTCATTATTCACATGAACAAATTTTAACAGTGTTACTTCTTTTTCAAACAATAAGAATCAAATTGATAATTGAGACAAATTTAAAAGACCGAATTGATAAAAATTAAATTTAAAGGATTAAATTGATAATTGAGGCAAACTTAAAGGGCTAAAAGTTTCATATCCCTAATTTTTGTTTGAATAATTTTATTTTAATATTATATGAAATTAAAAGTTAATTTGTTTGCATTTTCTATAATGTAAGGTTTACGTGCTAGATATGACATGTTCTTGAGCTTTAGAGGTGAAGACACTAGAACATCCTTCACTTCACATCTTTATTCATCTCTAAATAAGGCTAGCATTAATGTTTTCAAAGATGATTTTGAGCTTCCTAGAGGAAATTCTATCTCAATAGAACCGTCAGAAGCGATTGGAACTTCTAGAATTTCCATCATCATCTTCTCTAAAAGATATGCTGGTTCGAGATGGTGTTTGGAGGAACTCTCAAAAATTATGGAGTTTCACAAAAAAAATGATCAAGTGATCTTGCCTGTGTTTTATGATGTGGATCCATCAGAAGTTCGCCATCAAATGTCTAGTTTTGGAGAAGCTTTTGAAGATCTTATACTTTGAGTTTCACCAACAGAAGATCAAGTGTTAAGATGGAGGACAATGTTACATGAAGCTGCAGGTATTGCAGGGTTTGTTGTTCTTCATTCCAGGTAGTTTCTTATTTCCTTTCAACTTAGCACATACAGTTCTGTATGTCTGAAGTTGCTTCCACTGAAAGTTTTACAGCCTTATGTGAAGTGGCATAAATTGGAAGCATATGGATCCAACAATTGTGCGTTTGGATGTAGGGGGATTTGGATTTAGGTTTGAACTATATTCGCCTTTTGAATCCTTAATTAAGAATTTGGATTTGATCCAAATCTAAATCCAAAATTTATTTTAATTTCTTGATAATTTCAAATCCCTTTCATTTTGAAATCATAGAAATGGAAGATGATGAAAGAAAGTAACTTGTATTTGTTTTTTAGTTTCTGTACCCTCTAGTTATTTATAGTAATCCACTATTATTCCCAAAAAAAAATCCCTTTTACACCATGGCTATTTGAAATGTTATATACTCTAATCCTCTCATCTCTTTTCATTTTCATTTCCCATCTTTGTTTTTCATTGTTTTACAGTTTGATGTTTTTTATACAATTCAAACAAAGGATTTTAACTCCATGAATAAATGTGAGATTCTAAATCTAAAATCCAAATCCAAATTCAACAATTTAAACGCTATTTAAGAGTAGTGACGATTGCTCCTTAGAAGATTTATGGCCAAATGTCAAAATGAGCAGATCAAACTAAGTGGGTGAACTGAAATTACTTTGGAAAAAAAGCAAGAGAAATGTGGATTTTAGGATTAATGAGACTCTTAGGTAAGATTTTTCTTCCTCTAATTACTTCATAACGGTCAATTAGCACACACACGCTCTGTCATTTTTTTTTTAATCTAATACTCATGCCCAGTCTAGAATTCAATTTTATTTCAAAGCATATGTCAATGTCAAAAAAGCTTGGTAATTATGTTAACCTCAACCTTTCAATTTCTCCTCTCTGTTTCTCCAAATTTAACAGCATTCTAACTTTGACTATATATTTACGTCAAAGTCAAATTAATTGAAATCAATCCAAAATAGGTATATTCTGGAGCAAATCATATTTTCATACATCAAGAAAATATCATGTATAAATAGTATGTTAAACCCTAAAAACTAAGAAAAATGTGCTCAATAATATAAATTGTCCATTTTATATTATACATATAGCCTGAAAACTTATAATGTCTATGGCGTGTTTTTCATGTTTCACTTCTAGTTTGTTATCCACACCTTTAGTTTGAAGGTTATGTATGTGGCATTCCAGTTGCCACCATACACACAGAGAGATTAAGTTGCCATTGTTTTCTCCCTTCTAGTTTACTCATAATGTTGCCTCTTATTCTGGGATGTAGTACTTTTAATATCATGACTTTCTTTTGTTGGAAGGTTGAAGTATAGTTAAGGTGATTATTTTGTTATTAATTACCTAGTTTGTTAATGACCCTACAATCTATGTAAAGGGACATATGTCACATTATATTGATATAGGGAGATTATTGGAGTGTCACTCCCTCATTATCTTGATCACCTCGTAGGTTTGGGGTAGGTTCACCACCCTCAAGAAAAGGTACGTTGTTTCTTTGTAAATCACCCTTACAAGGGTTTGTTGTCTTCATTGTTTTCATTATCTATATGGTTAATATTCTTCTCCTTTTAATCCTCTTAATATCTTTATAGTTATGATCATACTTATATAAATATATAATCCTCTTACGCTATTCTTCTCTGTAAATCACAAGAATGAAAGTAAGGATATTGAGAATATTGTTGAGCATGTTTGTAATATATTGGACAAAAAAGACTTGTTTGTCACAGACCACCCAGTTGGAGTTAACTCTCATGTGCAAAATGCAATTTCAATGCTCCAAAGCCATGAATCAAAGGATGTTCTCTTAATAGGAATATGGGGAATGGGGGGCATTGGCAAAACAACCATTGCCAAAGCCATTTACAACAAACTTGGTCGCACATTTGATGGTAGAAGTTTTCTTTCAAATATCAGGGAAATTTGGGAGCAAGATAATGGCCAAATTTATCTACAAAACATACTTCTTTTAGAAATTTGTAAAACAACAAAGATGGCCATAAGTAGCATTGAATCGAGAAAAATCACATTGAGGGATAGCCTTCACCATAAAAGGGCATTTGTTGTTCTTGATAATGTGGATAAATCAGAGCAAGTAGATGCTTTATGTGGAAATTGTGAATGGTATGGTCAAGGGAGTATAATAATCATCACTACTAGAGATGAACATCTACTCAATGTCCTTAGAGTGGATTGTGTATATAAAATGAAAATTATAGGTCAAAATGAGTCTGTTGAGCTTTTCAACTGGCATGCATTTAAGCAAGCAAGTTCTAAAGAAGAATTTTCTGGACTTTCTAGAAATATAGTTGCCTATTCAGGGGATTACCTCTAGCTCTTGAAGTACTGGGCTCTTATTTGTTTGACAAACAAGTGATAGAGTGGAAAAATGTATTGGAGAAACTGAAAAGAATTCCTAATAATGAGATACAAAAGAAGTTAAAAGTAAGTTTTGATGGTTTATCTGATGATCTGAAGAAGGGAATATTTCTTGATATAGCTCATTTTTTTATTGGAAAGGACAGGAATGATGTGACACAAATATTGAATGGTTGTTAAATGTTTGCCGACATTGGCATAAGGGTCCTCAAGGAGAGAAGCCTTATAACCATTGATAGAAGCAACAAACTTGGAATACATGATTTGTTGTGGGACATAGGAAGAGAAATAATATATGAATAGTCACCAACAAAATATGGAAAGTGAAGTAGATTATGGTTTCATGAGGAGGTACAAGCCGTGTTATCAAAACGTATGGTAAGAACTTACATATCCTATATAGGTATCAATGAATTGGTCACAGAAACCATATGGTTTTGTATGCATTTTAAAACACATTTTGTAGTCACAAATGATGTGTGTTGCACACTTTGATTTTGATAAGCTTTTATTTGGCAAGGAACAGAAACTATTGAAAGGCTAGCTTTGAAGTTGACACAAACTGAAAAAATGCATTTTGGGACAGAAGCATTTAAAAAGATGAAGAGACTCAGATTACTTTACCTTGACAATGTACTACTAAGAGGAGACTATGCATACATCAATAGAGATCTCAGGTGGCTTTGCTGGCATGGCTTTCCCTTGAAATACATTCCTAGCAACTTTTATCAAGAAAATTTAGTTGCTATTGACTTGAATAAGAACAGCCTCATACAAGTGTGGAAGGAACCCCAGGTATGTAAATTAACTAATAGTTGGTTCGTTAGCCTTTTGAGCCATCTACAACAAAAAATGAAATATAAATATTTTCACATATTATATATATAATATATATATATATTCAAGATGTTTCTCAAATTTCCCTTTGAAATGGTTTCCTTGTATATATTGGACAGGCTTAAAATCCTTAATCTCAGCCACTCTACAAGCTTGGAGAAAACTCCTGATTTTTCAAAATTACCAAACCTTCAAAAGTTGATCATTAAAGATTGTCCAAGTTTGTCCATGGTACAACATTCTATTGGGCTTCTTGATGAACTTGTTCTACTAAATTTAAAGGAGTGTACTGGCCTTCGTAATCTCCCAAGAAGCATTTATAAATTGAAAAGGTTAAAAACTCTCATTCTTTCTGGTTGTTTGATGATTGAAAAGTTAGAGGAGAACATTGAGCAAATGGATTCTTTGACAGAATTGATTGCTAATAACACTGCAATAGCACAAGTTCCTTCTACATTAATAAGATTAAAAAGGATTGCATATATATCTATTTGTAGTTATGAAGGATTAACACGGGACGTGTTTCTTTTTCTCATTTGGTCTAGGATGTCCCAACAAATAGAGCTCTATTTCTTATTCCAACATATGGGGGCATGCCATCTTCAATTTTGTGGGATA